TGGCTGCAGGAGTGACGATAGAGTCTTCAGACTTGGAACTGCTACCACGAACTGTGGAAGATAGTGTAATAACAGTGCCTAGTTATAAAAGAGACTCACTAGATGAGCAAAGTGCATTAACCTCAAAGATTGATGAGCAAAGTGCATTAACGTCAAAGATTTACGAACAAAGTGCATTTACCTCAGAGACTGATGAGCAAAGTGCGTTAACTTCAAAGATTGACGAGGAAAGTACACTAGCTTCAAAACCTACCACCCCTTCAGGCACTAAGTTGCCACCTGATTCAGCTATGACTGTGATGCAAGGTCATGCTTCTACGGCCTCATCCCCATCCTCGGTGCTTCTAGCCAAGCACTGGGGTCCTGAGCGCATGGTGGAGATCCTGCGTGAACCCAACTGCAGTCTGGGGATAAGTATTGTTGGAGGAAAGGTAAGATGTAATCAAATTAAAGGAACTTTGGAGGAAACTGTATAGCCATTAGTTAATTCACAAATTATCATAAACTGAATTTTCAATCCATTATTAATTGCCATACGTACAAAAATTGAAGTTTTTGAGGCCGTTCTAGACCAGTATTCTGCAACCTTTTTCTACCCATGGCATACCTTGATTTGTAATGGACACATGATGGCCCACCACAGAATTTTATCTCACAAAAAGGAGTTACGAAACTACACATCACCATAACTATGCATCTATTTGCAAATATATGCCCTATAAGACTAGGCATGTGAAATGTTGAATCATAGTGTGTGTGTGTGTATTATAATTCTAATCACAGAAGACAAAATATTGTCTTTTTTAATAAGAATCCCCAAGCATATAATTTTTTATAAAAATTCTTATGATGCATCACATCAGTTGTTTGGAACACTGTACTAGACCAACATTGTCATATGATCGTGAGAACTTTCGAGGGAAAATTGCCATCAACTGAATTGTACTTCATGAGACAGCATTATGAGCCATCAAAGAATGATGACAGAATACAAATTTGACTGTTAACAGATCTTATATAATACTACAGAAGAAATTTAAAAGAACAGCATAACAGATCAGCTAGACGTATATCTGACACGATAGTGATGATGAATACAAAAGTGTGCATATGGGTTAGTAAGTGCTTCTTCCTTTCTTGAATATGCAAATGTGTGCTTTATACCATACCATTTTTTTTTTCATTTTTATTTCTAGATAGAGGGTGTTTGAGAACAGAGTGCTAATGGTAGTATATGGCTTGACCTGTGAGAGAGGAAGTAACAGGAGAATGGATGAAATTTCAACATTCATTATGTTCACCAAGCATTATTAGGGCGATAAAATCATGGATGATGAGATGGACAGTGTCTGTATGACTACTTCTTCTTGATTCTTATTTTAATGTATGTTTTATAACTACTGAACTGGTATGTGCACAGGTTGATTTGTACAATGCAGGCCCAGACAGTGGGTCAGCAATCTCAGGAATCTTCATAAAGAATGTATTGCCCCAGAGTCCAGCAGGCCGTGCTGGTGAGCTCAAGGTATGTTGGAACTGAAGCATCCTTCCACATTTTTTGTTTTGTATCATGGAGATACAACACTGGCAGAGCTAATTAATTTTCCAGACTGGAGACAGAATATTGGAAGTGGATGGCATTGATCTCCGGCAAGCAAGCCACGAGCGAGCTGTGGAAGTGATACGTGGGGCAGGCAACCCCGTGTGCTTCTTGGTGCAGTCCCTCATTCAGTGGGTAAGTGACGTCCACTGTCTGTTAGCATGTGTGTTTGTATCCCTTTTGTAATGTTAGTAGAACTCCCCTGTGGGTCCTGAGTGAGTTGGCAAGCATGAGTGGATGTCCCACGTACTCATTGCAGAGTGTGGACGGAGATGTTGAGAGTCATACGACTGAAGTTGCGTCCACATCCTCCGCAGGAGCAGCTGGTGGCTCGAGACAGCCCTCCACCACTTCTTCTTCCCCCACCAGAGAACTTCTAAGGGTGGCCCCTCCACACGTCCCGCAGGCCAGAACACAGAGCCCAGAGCTGATCCAGGTGAGACTGAAGGGCCAGAGTGCCCATACAGAATCATGACCTGCACCATCTACTTTAATACCAACCGTATCTTAAAGTGAGGCATCCTCTTTTCTGGTGTCATGCAGCAAACACTTTAGTTACCAAATTATAAGTTCACTATGATGTGTCTAATTAGTGACATTCTCAAACAGTCAGTACAGCCATTCAACTGTGTGTTGTGTTACTGCAGATGTGGGTCTGTCTGTAGGTCACTTGTTTGTGTTGTTGGTCACTGAGATGGGCTTATGATGCAGGAGGTGCAGGACAAGGAGCAGCCACAGTACTCATCCAGCGAGGCCAGTGATGACGAGGAGGAGGAGGAGGATATCAGGGACTTGGAGGGGCGCATCTACACCAAGATGGGACGAGAGGTACGTAGCAAGCAACGTAGGGACGTAGGCTGTTCAATGGAACCAATCACATAAATACATTATTTGAGATTTTAAGCTTTCAGAGTTACTGAATGCAATGAGGCAATCAGCTGTGTCAATATGGAATGACTGTGGCCCCAAGCAGGTTGTGTGGATACGTGAATTTGACCACCGTTCCCTTATTGGCTCGCTCTTTAACAAGGAGTCAACACTCCAAAAGTCAAGTGTATTTTTAAATGCAGCGAACAGTTGCATCACTCATAATATCACTCCCTGATGATGGTAGCAGATACAGCCTTTGTAAAATTGTAAACTCATACCATACCGACAGCTGATCATGGGAGAAGATTTAATTACAATCAGTTAAATGTGCTTCTGTTATCTAGCGAAGTAGGATATTCTTCATAGTAGTATCACTAGGAGGTTCTGAAAATGTGTAGTTGTTGATATCAGGAAACTGTCCCAGGTAAGCAGAGTGCGCTACAAGAGCTTATATCTTTGCAGATATACCGAGCCAGTGCTGGTAATGTGAAGAGGTCTAAGGAAGAGGCGGAAGCAGACCCAGAAGAGGAGGACGAATATGGCTACACCACAAGTGAGTACAAAAGTTCTTATGTTTTACAGACTGTAACTGTAACTGTGGACTTCCTATGTTTCGTCTGTGTGATGCGTGATGCTTCTGCATGCCGTTCTCTGCCTGTCTCACTGTGGTTATATTCAGACCTGTGGTCATCAAATTCTTTTGTAAGTTGACCACAGTTGGAAATTTCTGATGTTGCATGGGATTTAGCATTTGTTCTTATTCATAGCTTGCAATAATGAAGTATAAGTGGAGAACTGTTTTAGGTATGGTGTAAAATAAGTATCATACTGAAATATCAGTATTTTAAAGTTTGTGATCATTCCTCTTGAAAGAACTTTAGTTTGATAAATGCAAGAAAGTGGCCTGCAATGAACTCTTTTTGACTTGTTTGTGATGGAGCACTACATAGGTCTCCTGACCAGGTTCTAGGTTTTCCTGTCTGAATCTTTGAAATTGCTGAATTAATTGCAATGAAATTATGTACCAATACCAAACATCTGTTACATATCAGTCCAACACAACTTCCTGCTTTATGTGATGCTCAAAGTGAACTTTGACACTTTTTTCAGAATTGGCTCATTGCATGTAGAACTGATGTACAACATGAAATATAGATCTCATTAATATCTACAACTTTTAGAAAATCGGAAACAATTTTAATGTGTGAACTGGATTTATTTGTGTCAGGATAGGATTCACTGATGGGCTATTGTGTATACGATAATGAACAGTCGAATTACGTAGAATGTGAGGGATTTCTTGACTACCTGAATGACTGTCAAGGACTGTGGTGCTCGGAGGTAGTTGGGGACAGCAACAAACTGAAATGGAATTTCGAAAATGACAAGTGCACGAAATGTGTCAACTTCTTCCGTATATCATAGACTATCTCACTTCCGTTTTTTACTTCTCTCTCAAACGTTCAAGTTTAAGCATCTCAAAAATAATCGTGGCCCAGTTTATAGTGGATGTATCCAATGGACTGTCGCGTGTGCATTGCTTGGAGCGCCTTGCAGATAGACTATACGTTCAGCAGCTGTGTCGAAGAAGTTGCCGCCTGAGCACGGCGTCCCACTGACCTAAGATCGCAATGAAACGAAAAATAAAAAGAGAGAGTAGGTAGCTGCTGTGCCGACGCTTTGCTTTGCATGCTGGGAAATATCCCAGGCGCTACGCTCGCTTGCTCAGTGTGAGTTTGGCAGCTACGTAGTGCAGCTGGTTGGCCATGCGACGTGGACAATGGAGACGATAGCAGAGGATGCTGAGAGCGAATATGAGCTCGGTAAATGTGTGTGAGTGGTCAGTGTGCTGTGTTGTCGTGACGGGCACGATACTGCTCCGGTACGGCCTGTGCTGTGTCGGCTGTCTCTCGTGTAGACTAGCTCGGTGTTGTCTTGCCGTGACAGAATAACGCGTGCCACTGCCTTCTTCACGTCCCGTCCGAAACTTTGTGAAAAACCGCATTATGAGATAAATAACTTATTTTTCACCGCTGCGCCGTTTTTAGGGACACAAAATGTGATGGCAGAGTTTAGGAATCGAGGCTTTCTAATGTCAGGAAGTTAAATATTGCACCTCGATCGGGTTGGCACGCCAGCAGGTCTGCCTGTCTACTGTCATTTCTCAAGTAGACTGCAGAGTAATTCAACTTGCTCGTCATCTCTGGGGTTATTTTTATTTAACCTTTGCGGATAATTTCTTCATGTTACCTGTCGCTAATGTTTCCAGCATTCCAGTACTGCCTTCACTGCTTGTTGATAGGATCAAGCTCAGACCGGCATGCCCGACAAGTGTTAATGGATATTATTAAAACTTCGGTTACTGCCCCCACTTTCTTACTCAAGTCAGTTTTTACTGTTGAGAGAAACAGCGGCTATTTGTTTTGAAAACCAGACGAAACACGTGTGCGTGAAATGCCAAATTCTTTATCGTTAAACCACGTGGTACACACAGTTACCACTCCACTCTAAGGTGGCCACCTCAGTACGGAGCTACCGCAATGCTCATCTTTTATTCATACAGTTGGTAGTGTTTAAAATATTACTTCGTTGAGTAAAATGTAAATAAAAAACGTGATCTTGCGAGTAAGGGCAGTGACATGTCTGTAAGTTTTGAACCGGCTCTCTGCCTTTAACTTACGAAATTATAATGAGATTGCCAATCCAAGAAATCGTTTTGTATTGCTATATTTTTATAAGAAGGAACACCGGTTACAAGCGTTTTGAAGTAAATTGTATATTATTCCTAAGGATGTCCCATAAGGCGGGAACTTTGTGATTTACACAAGCAGGTTACCATGGGCTGAACATGTAGCTTAGATCGGGGCACAATGCTTATCGAATTTTTGTGGATGATGTCTCTTGGAAAGCGGCCACTTGGAAGTCCGAGAAGTAGTTGTGGGATAACGTTAAGTTTTAAGAACAGGAGTTGTGAGGATGGGAACTGGATGGAAGTTTCCCAGGGTCGTGTCCAGTGGCAGACTTTGGTATAAGCGATGTGAAACTTTCGGGCTATATGTCTTATCCGAGAATCAGATATAAGTAACAGTTCCAAACATGGCAGCAGCCAGATGTGGTAGAAATTTGTAGAAATTCTGTGTAAGATCCAGAAGGTTAACGGGATATATAACATTAAGTTGTGCGCAAACGGCGTGTTCGTCCGTCCATCTGTACGTTTCATCTTCGAAACCGCTTACATTTTGATTACATTTACACTACAGGTTGACTGTCGAGTTTCATTTCATTTCGCATCGGTTGAACACAAACGCTATTTTTACACGAAGATTAAATCGGAATTGATGATTTGTTCTCAACATACCTGGTCACTCATAAAATCGTTACGTAATGTTAACAATAGGGAGCCTGGATAGCTCAGTTAGTATAGTGCCTAGCTACGGGCTGTGCGACTGAGGTTCGATCCCCGACGTTGGCAGAGGATTTTCCCTCTAGCCTCTGCGTTCAGATTGGCTCTGGGGCCCACCCAGCCTCCTATGGGTACCGGGGTCCTTTCCCGGGGGTAAAGCATGGCTGGGACGTGATGCTCATCACTCACCCCCCCGTCTAGTGCCGAGGTCAAGAATGAGTAGGAGCAATACCGCCTCTCCCCCTCAAGCGCCTACATGGCGTGTAGCGGGACGGCTTTACTTACAATAAGATAAATGTTGCAGTTTATATTTGACGTAATACAAGTAAACGTTGCCTCTGACTCTCTCTGCATTGTAATTAGCATTGCAAGAGGCAGGTGTGAGGCGGCGAGACGGATAAAACCGCAAAGGACGCTCTTGGAAGAATGCGCCTTCCGTATCTGCTGAAGTAAGGACTTGAAATTCCGTAGATTGTGATCGTGCCCAGACATTTCGCAGTAAACATTTTCTTGTGCGCTGAACGAGACGCCACGACATTGACACTTCTCAGCCAGTGGAAATCTCGAACACGGCGTTCCTGACATGACTACCGACATCGGTGGTGTAGTGATTGGTGCCGGGACGTCCGGGTTACAATAAAACTCGAAGGTTAGGCATCGTCACATGTTTTTAGTAGTTTTTGCATCTCCTTTCACAAAAATTCTGCAATACTTTACACCCGGCCACAGCCGCTTTCTGAGAGATGACAAGGCAACGTTAAAGAGATTCGTTTTTGGAACACGTCAACAACCAGTGCGTCACTTACTGAAGCATACCAAGATGGCAGTGATGCGAATCTGTCGAGTTTAGTTTGACATTGTGAAAGTAGGTCACACATTTGTGCGATAGTTTTATTTTAAGTTGTGCGATTGGCAGGCCTCTCTGTTCAGGTGGCGGTACTTATTGGCAACATTGATACTGCCTTTTATCAGTCAGCTACCGGTATGTACATTTCGCCTTTCAAAATAAGCACGTTATATTTAGCATTCGTATCTCGAGTACCACGCAGCAAGAGTGCACTTTCCGCCTACGGCGTTAAGGCCATGTCTTTTATGGTTCACGATGTCGAGGTTTTCTCGTCATTCGATTTAGGGCTTATACAACGTAAATCACTAACTCCAGGGCGCAGAGTCCGACTTGAGAAATTCGGCTGGTCAATAAATTCGCCGACTTTTATGGAACATTAAAATGTTCATTACAGTACGGTATTTGCAAGAGCCCGTCACTGGACCCTGTCCTGAACCAGATGCACCCACTTCACATCCACACACACACTGTTTCTTTGATGTCCGTTTTAATAATATTCTCTCGTCCACGCCTAGGATCCCCAAGTGGTATTTATCCCTTCATTTTTTCGGCCAAAATTTTGCATGTATTTCTCATCCCTTTTCATCGTCCTGAATGTGGTGAAGATGATAATAGTTGGTTAGAATTACGTAATATGAAGCGCCCAATTGTGTAATTATATCCATCCTCCTGTCAGTTCCTCTTTCCTTAGGTCCAGACATTTTGCTTGGCACGTCGTTCTCAAACACTCGAGGTTGGCAACTTACCTTGGGATGAAAGACCAGGTTTCGCATTCATACAAAACAACAGGCAAAACTATAGTTCAGCTTATTTCACTCTTCACGTTTTTAGACAGCAGACAGGAAGGCAAGAGATTCTGCACTGAATGGTACGAAGCATTTCTCGAATTTAGTCTGGGTTCTGCTCAGATTGTACACGTTATTCCAGTTTTATAAAGTGATGTGTGCCCAAAAGTGTACTCCCGCGCCTCCAATTTACACCTGGGTTTTCCAACTGGTGATCCCACTTCTCGGAGTTCTGCTACTTTTTGATATTTTAGGTTCTCACGGCGGTGACGATCTACCGATCAGTCGACACGGCGCCAAGACCCAACACATCATCATCATCATCAGCTGCTAGTTTTGTTTGAATCTGAAATAACTTAGAGTGTCTGAGAACCCTTCTCGTAAAATGTTTACGCGCGTGGGTCGTATTTTTCACATGCGGTCCTGAAGCTGTCGGGAACATCAACATTTTGCACAGCCCATTCGTTTTCTTTATTGCATATACGAATCTGTTTGTGCGCTCCGTGTAATGTAATACGAAATTTCAACGTCGCTATTACTAATTTTCTCCACCGGACACGATCCAGAGACTTCCATCCACCCCCACAAAATCGAATTTTCTCGCTTTACGAAGGGGCCGTTTTTCATTGTTTCACACGAAAATTGTGTATGTATTCTTTGTTTCCGGACGGCTCTTGTTTGAGTCTCGCGCCGCCATTCGGTTAGTTAAAATGTGCCACCTCCGTTTTCTTCCATTTCCTGTGGGATTCATCGTTCACAATCTTCGTAACTCTCGCCGTGTGCAATTAAGAAGTCTCATTAAATAACTCAAGAACAAATTAGTCCATCCGAGTTACATGTCTGTCCCATCGTAACCACGATTTCAGAAAATCTCCATTACTAATCTCTGACGGACCCTAGGAACTTTATCTAGAAATGCAGGAACGAGGCGCAAAATTTAATTTCGTCAGCTCCGCCGAACTGTCGTGACAAACAGTTGCTGCGGGCGCAAGGTCGCCCGGTGTTTGCGGAGGAACATGTGTGCCTGTGCTGGCGTGCAACTTGCACCTGTGAACGCGTAACACTCTGGCATGTGGCGATAAAGGCGGACGGAGAATAAGGCTTGCCGTCGTGCCAGTATAGCATAAGACGCAGATCGCCAGTAATTTACTCACACGGCAGTGAACTTGGGGGAAATTTATTGTGGGCCGGACGTATAACTTGTGTGGTAGAGACAAGGAATACGTAGAGAACGTTTGTGGAGAAAACTGCTGGAAAACGGACACTTAGAAAGCAAAGAAGGAGATGGATAGTAGAGATAGAGGTTGTAAGGGTTGGAGGTGGATGGAACTGGCTCAGGATTGTTTCCAGTCGACGGCATTGAAGCTCAGGTTTCTGCGTTCGTTATTTTTCATGCGAAACGCGAGGAACGTCCACACATTCACAGGTACTGGTGGTGTTTTCCATCCCACAAGTTTGTGCATTGTCGGTGCGAATTACGATCTGGGGTTGGCATGCTGTTGCAGATAAGGTGAAGAAGAAGTATGGGTCCCAGGGCCACTCGGTGCTGGCTGTGCAGCTGGAACGGGGCCGACAGGGCCTGGGACTGAGTCTCGCGGGGCACAAGGACCGCAGCCGTATGGCCGTGTTCGTGTGCGGCCTCAATCCGAACGGCGCGGCGTCCCGTTCGGGCGGCATCCAGGTCGGCGACGAGATCCTCGAGGTAACATCCCAAATTCTGTTGTACTTCAGTTCAGCTGTGTCTGGTGCCAAGGGAGATTAACTTCAGACCCCTTACGTCCGTACGTCTTCATGGCGGGGTGCTTAATTACGAGGGCAGGACAATTTTACGTTCGCCTTTTCTTGTTACTTAGCGCCGTGGAGACTAATTAAGAGCATCCTTCACCTTCCATGCGGAAGATGAATTAATTAATCCCTTCGGGACTATGGTTGCGCTAGCCTACTATCACGTATACGCGTTTCAGTGTTTTGTCATTACAGGTCGACGATAGTACAGACGCGAGAGAACTTTCAAAGAAATTTGTATGCTTCTGGAGTGTATTGGGAGTAATAGGAACGTCTTACGAGATCAGTTATTTAGGTTATACGGTCACAACTTTTATTTGCATATATAAAGCGAAGTCCTTGTAGTTCCTATATAATGGCGATTGAACCAATTACAAGTTCACGCGGTAAGGAGAAGGCATTTCGTGCTTCAAGTCCGACTGTTGATGAAGTGAATGACATTTTATACAACTCTGGATCGGAGAAAAGTGACGGAACATTCCGACAGTCATATTCAGATTCTGATAATATATATATATATATATATA